CGTCTTAACGAGCGATATTGAGAAATATCGCGCTGCCCTTACGAAAGAGAATCCAGTGGGCCTTAAAGCCCAAATGGATCATCCTGGGATCGAACCATCTTTATGTTTCACGCTCGTTGAACAACCTATTTGTTTATCTCTATTCACATTTGTTGTCGGTACTCATTACGTAAAACACCCGCAGAAATTCAACCATTTCGAATTATCGTCGAATTTGTACAGGTAATACAATCGTTGCCACAAAGTAAAATATTACAGACTATGTATTGAAAACTAGATAACGTGACCCATTTTTGAAAAAAAAAAATCAATAAAACGAACGTTAATATTGTTCGTATTCTTTTAAAATATCTCGTTAAGAGTATATTCATTATGAAAATATAATAATAAACTTTATTAATTTTTCTCTACTTCACAAATAAAATATTCTTAAAATTTTAAATTTAACAAGACATCATCTCTTCTAATAATCTCTCTTTTACAAGTGCAACCATCACGAAAAGAACATTAGAGTATAAAACTCTTTCAAAGCACACATTTATATTTACCGTATTCAATTTTCGATACGACAATACCAGATTTCTGAAATGAAGAAAAAAATCAAATATAATTTATAACAACAGAATGAGAAAAATTTATTTCTGCAACCTGTCTCAATAAGCTAAAGCTCATGCACCAATACTCTTCTCCAATATAAGAATGCATTATCTAACTTGCCTCTATCGCATTTTCAACTTCGCCACGCGAATGAATAATAAAAACACGTTAAACCGTGATTGAATAGTGTTCGTATCGTACAATGGGACTCGTTAAATGGAGGAGATGAAAGGGAACCGATCGGTGAGAGAGGTAGACAAAGAATATGATTTCGTTTTCATATTCCGGGGACGGGCGAGGCGACGAGCATGGCAATGAGCTTCGGCCAACGTTGCGACCGGAAGCGAGGGAGGCACACGCGCATCCGGTGATGCGAGACGTCTACGCAAGATACGATCCTCTCCGCCTTCTTTCGCCGCTCGATCAAACACATCTCTCCCACCCGATCTCGGATTTGACCGGTTCGATCCGAGGCGATGACTCGATGTACTTCGCGCCATGGTTTTACTCGTGCAGAAGGGAATAACTCGTGCGACACGGTTAAAAAAAAAAAAAAAAAACGTAGGCAGAGCCCGTTTATCTTGTTTCATGGTCTCGAGCAAGCGTGAAAGTCATTTGCAGGTTCATCTCCCTTCGATGGATGTTTCGTTGCTCGGTCGGTGGCGAAACGTGTGCGAACCGTTTCGTAATCGTGAGTATGGTGTTCTCGCAGGCACGATGTCGGCTTCGTTCCACTTTGCGGAATTCGTTGTTGTTGACACGGAGTTGAGGTATATAATTTAATGAAAATCGAATTAGATATTTCCAGAATTTTTTTCCAGGAATGAATTCATTTTTATTTGTTTGAAATTTTGTCAAACGATCATGTCGTAAATATATACATATTCGAGAATGTAATTTATAATTTCTTTGTGTAGTAGATACATAAAATTCTTTTCCATTTAAGAAGGAGATTCGAGACTCTTTCTTTAATAAAAATCGAACAAAATCGATTGAGCAACGCTAGTCCCTGAGAACTAGGAGACGGTTGCAAGGATCCCTTGCTAAACATTTCGAATCAAAGTTCAAGTAACGGATGCACGTATCAAGCTAGTTGCAACACGCGTCCTACGATCGTTCCCCAAAGGTGCAATTGTTATATTGTAGCAATAAGAATTGCATCGTTGCCTCGTGGCACGCGATCCAAGTGGTCCCCTATTGGTTAGCCTAATTGCAAGAACCACGATATTCTCTCGGTCGCTTATATAACGAAATCGCCTCCGCCGGTGTATCCGGATCTCGTTGGACGTCGAAGCGGCGTGAATCATCCCCTCACGCGATATCGATTCGTGTTCCACGCTCTTACCCACTGAGATCTTCATTTTGTCGTGAGTTTATTACGGTGAAGGTTTATCCAGGTCGAATGCATTTCAATAGAAAATTTATCGGTTTAACGATTTACATCCACGGCATAATAACGGATGGAAGGAGTTCGAACATGTTGTTGACAAGAATAGAAATGAAGAAGCCGAAGGAACGATGTATCTTATCGTTTCTTGTATTTCGATCTTTCCTTTGAAATACTATGTCGACGATACTTCGATTAACTATAATAATTTCGAAATTCATTCGACTTATTTATTTAAACGAATCAACTCTCTACTCGAGTCTTTCTTTACGCGATTAACAATCTACGCAACTTTTTCAAGTTTCACATATTTCTACTATAATTTTTCTTAATCCATTCGCTGTACAAATTCACACTAATCGTTTATACGAATGTAATCTATATATGCATATTTTTATATGTCTTTGAATAATTTCACACAACAGTTCGTAAACAGAAAAGCAATACAGATTTAGCTTGTTTTCGTTCCCAGAAGAATTCTCTCTGTTTCCAAACTTGACTCGCGCAATCTCGACGTCGAAAACTATCTTCCCTACGTTCCATCGGCATTAACAGTCAGTACGCGATTCATTGAAAGGACCACAGCTACCGTGCACGCATAATATGTAAATGTATCGGGCTACCAGAACGATTTGCACCGGCGTTAGAGGGGGGGAGAGGCACGATAACGGCGGTGACACTCGTTGGGGCCCCGCACAATTTATCAGGGGGTTTGTCGTGCATCACTCACAGACGCGTTGCAAGCGGATGCACGGTTTCGAGTGATAGATCTCCTGGCCCAGGTGAAATATACCTACTTGATGCAGCGTGTGCTTAGCACGCAACGGATTATCCGTGGAAAGCATCCGTCATTTGGGAATTTAGGTGAATTTTCTGATGGCAACTGGAGTTTCGGGGAAACTGGAGAAATTCTTTCGAAAGAAATGTATGCTCAAGCGATTCAATCGTTTTTATTCTATATGAAATTTTAAGGAAGGAAGGAATGGTTGGTCGTAGTCTTTGCATAACACACGTACAAATTTTCTTTTTTTTTTCCTTTAGTAAATACAGGATAAAGTTAATTTCTTTATTGTTAATTTTAATCTAATAACAATTTAATTTAGAATCGTCGATATAATAAAATATCAAGTAATTAATCTCAAATAATCTCGAATATAATTCGTTCGTTATTCTGGTAATGAGTTAAAAAAGAGAAAAATAAAAGAACGTTAAAGAAAATATATAGATATATCTTCCATATATCGCGAGTCAATAGTGGTTGTCATCGAATTATCTTCGATAAAATATGAAAGGCTTCAGCGCGACACAATACACAATAAACACGGGGAAGAATAAGCCCATTGACGGCCAAGCTATTTGGCGAAAACATTCAAGACACAATCGCCCCTTTTCCAAAACTTCGTCCAACATGCTAATTGTCCAAACACCAGCGGCTAACAAAAAAAAAAAAAAGAAAAAACCCCTTGCACGCAAATTCGCTTTGGTGCAAAGAAAAGATCGTTTTATGTCTCTCGACAAGCCGTAGAGGCACGAGGTAACAAACTGTCGGCAATATATTTTCAACGCCGGCCAGGGAGTGAATATTTAAATTCGAGTATCGTTATGCGCTTCGTGGCGCCAGCCTCCTCTAAACTATGGTGCTATGGTGTTGTCTCGACCGAGCAGTCTCTCGCTCCGTGTAAAAAAAAAAAAAACAAAGGGTTCCCCGTGGCCACTCCACCTGTCACGGGTCGAAAAACCAAGACCAGTGGCACTGTCGCGTAACGATTCCTCGCCTCCGGTTTGCGCCTCCCTCCTCCCCATTTTTCCCTTCCCTCACCACCCTCCCCTCCTCCCTCTCCCTCTCCTCTCCTTTCGTTTTCTTCCCGTCGCCGGGCCCACGTTCGACCGTTTTCTCGGCGCATTCAGCGGAAATATTAAAATGCCCCGGCGAGTCGTGCGCACGACAATAAGTTCTGTTGGCGCTCCGGACGTGCCCTGGATACCGGGCGTTCGCTCTTAAACTACCATCCGCGTCGTCTACGTCCCTCCCTCTTCGTTCGTTGAGGGGGCCATCTCTCTCTCTCCTCCATAATTCGTCGGGGTGTCCCCACAGGGGATTGAAATGCACGCGGTGCACATCCTGTCCGGGAAAATTCAAATGAGCCCCTCGGTGGTACTCGGCCTCTTGTTGTCCGCCCGCCACCAGCGGTTAGAATCGGTGGATAGAAGGGAGAGAGAAGGAGAGAGATTTGGGAATACCGTTCTGACGGATGGATTGCGAGACACGCGGAGGGAGAGGGAGAGGGAGAGATTCGAGTGATAAATATCTGTGCACGGTGAACAGGTTTGGGAAGGAACGTGGGACACCAGGTTGTGGAAACGTAGCGAAAGTGGGAGTGGGGAGGGTTGGTTATTAATATTCCAGGGTGGGATCTGTTTGGGAGTGGTAGTATGGGAAACGGAAGTCGATCACCGATGATATGGAAGCTTAGCATTTGATCTTGGACGGAGGTTGGACGCGTGATTGGTAAATTTATTAATCGACCTTGTAATGTAATCGAGGAAGTCGAACTAGGAGGTCCATCGATGCTAATAATACACGTTTGCTGGAAGGAAAAATTGATTCTGAAATTTTGGTTATAGTACTCGTTTTTTTATTAAATATTTTTCAAGAATGTATTTAGAGGTTATTATTTAAAGATCGGTGTCAAGAGTAGGGATATAATAATAATAATAATAATAATAATAATGATAATAATAACAAGGATGTATTTAATATAAACACAGAAATTTATTTATTTATTCTCGTTGCAACGTTTCCATTTTTATGAATATATAATACATTTTAAACACGCGCGCGTGTTGTTAGTTTTTGCATCATATTCGGTATTTGCGCGCTCGTTGGCGCTTATTTGAGCGCGCAATACCGAACTGTTTCACACGGAAACAGTGTATAAGTCTGCCTATTATCTTCTCCGATTCTGTTTCGATTTCATCGAAATTATTCGATAATCTTTGTAGACGACAGAGCAAAGCCTTCCATTTTCAATTGCAAAATTTTCCATCGATTGACAAAGATCACATACGGATCCCCCCCTTTAATCCGTTGTTAATCTTTGTCAAACAACAGTGTTTCGTACTCTTCAGTGGATCATCGATGCGTGTTATTCTATATTAGGCCAACCATTTGACACCGACGTTGTTTGTTGCGAATAGAAATGAATCAAAAATGTTGGATGAAGATAATCCGGAATCTTCGAAATCTGTCTTTAAAACCTAGGAAAGGAAGTTTTTTTCTTTTTAATCAATTTGTCTTGGAGACGTAGAAAATAAAATAATTCGATATAATAATAATAATATATAAATCACGAATAATCGAAGCATTTCGTTCAACTTTTAATGTTTTTAATTTGAAACTGTATTTACAATTTACCTTAATTCATAACGTTTTATATTATAATATAGAAACATAAGATTTTTCTTAATCAATGGATGAAATTTTAACATGTTTCTTCAATCATTGGATTTATCTTCTTTACATTTTTTTATTTGAAATTAATTAAAATCGTTATAACGTAAATCAATGTTAAATACAGTTTCAAATTAATTACTTATTAAAAATTAAGTTAAATGCAAATGCAATTACATTTCATTTACGTAATCTCACTTTCCATATCTCAAGAACGAAGATAAATCAAGTTAAAAACGATAATATTTTTTGCTCAAAATGATCTTACAAAGAAAATAGTAAATCTATTATAATTATTAAATATAAATGTAATAGAGAGATTGTTTTATGCGAAACACGTTGTATAACGTTGTAAGAAACTTCATATTGTCAGAATTCATTTTGAGGAAAAGAAAATATAATCGTGCATGAATAAATAATTTACTTTTACTAATATATACGTCAATAATTATAACTTATTTTCTGAGAGATAATTATTATATTTACTGGTATGGTTACTTGGATGCTTTCAATGATTTGTCGAGCCCGTCGAGCGATGATTTGTATGCAATTAATCAATAAATCAGGTTCGTCTATATTGTTCAAATTATTGTTAAAATCATTTACGAAGTTCTTAGCGTGTGCTATTATTTTTGAATCCACTTCATTGGGTTTCGTGTTTATCAATATCGGAGTTTGAATCGACATACGTTTCGTTAACGGTTGCTCGATTCTATTCGTATATATAAAAAAAAAAAGAACAATAACATTATATCGATAATATTGTATTATTAAAAATTATTAAAAAATATTTATATATAACGGAAGCCATTATCTCATACCTATTGTTCTGCATATGTTGTCGTACGCAAAATGCCGCTAAGAGACAAAGTGCGTACATAGGATTCCTCAGATAATTAAGAGGCATAATAAAGTGCCTTTAACCAAGTTAAATTTTACCGATAGAATTTCACTATATTAGAAATTTTGTTAATTTATTTAAAATTTCTACGAATGTTTATACCTTAAGTAGCCAAATTGAAACCAAATTGTCCTTTGTCTTATAAAAAGTTGACTTTCGTCGATCGATCGATTTCATATCGCTTCGTTCGCCGCTCGATCTGCCATTCAACATCTTCTCGACAATGTTTCATTTGAAAAACAAATCTAATCTTTTCTTCTATCGAAACATGGAATCCTTCTATCACGTTTATTCTATTGAATTATACAATCGCATTGAACTTTTTTCAAGATATAATTCTATTTAAGAATAGAATTATTCAGTACTAGTTGTTCCCGAGAGAGTAATTTTTTGTAAATAGAAATTGTGTTGAGATTGAAAGTTATTATCGAACAATTATTCTCCGCGTGTGAAAAATATCTTTTTCCAAATTTTACTTTCGAATGGATTCGAATTAAACATAACCAGAGATTTCTGTATATTTGGTATTTGGTATCGAAATCACGTATAAATATGGATAGAATTTTTATTCGTTGCACTTTCTCTTAATTTTAAATCAATCCATAATTAAGTTCGATTAAACTCTTCATTTTCTAGATTAATTTCAAAGTATCAATCGATTCTTCCACAACTCTTTTTGTCGATAATTTTTAATCAACATTCTTCAAAATGTACTAATAAACGCATCATCACGATAATAACACAGATCGGCGATTAACTGACTTATCTCCGTGTCCCATTTGAAGCGAATTAAAAAAACGAATATTTCGATCCTCGCTCATATTATCCGTGGAAATTGGTTCTAGCGAACGCGAGGTCAGGGAAGAGGCGAGCCGATCGCGTGCAGAACCGACCACCACTCATCCACACACTCGAGTATTAAACGTAAGTGCCACTTACCTATGCCCGATCCTCACGAGCTGCGCCTATCGCTCCTCTCCTCGCCCCTTTCCAACGAGTTTCGTTCCTTCAGCTGCCCTTGTTACTTATATTTCAGTATTGGCAGTATTCGATCCATCTCTCGTCTCTCACCTCGTGGCGATTCCCGCAAAAAACGAATCATGGCAGAGCTCAGCCGCCGGCTGATCCATCTTCCGTAACCCGCGCAATCTTCACGCACGCGAGAACTGGTGGAACAAAACGGTCAAACCGCGGAACGGTACCCTGGCTAACCTTTGAACCCTTCACCTTCTCACGAACTCTTACGTGTATATATATATATATATATTATTTTTTTTTCTCGAGAAATGGTTGAATATTTTAGATCGCCTCGAATTGTTCGACCCTTCTTTATGTATATTTATCCTCGATATTCTGTTGCCATAATTTTGTACGCTCTATGGATTTGGATATGGATTTTTAAATTACGGAGAAGTATAACTAGGATATCATACAAGATTCCAATTAATCTTTCGCATCACGCGTATTCTCATCGTGTGAATTCGTAAAGTTCTAGAAGCTAGATAAATCAACGCACGAGGACGAGAGTTGAGAGTGTATTCTCACACAGGATAGGGGTTAGGTTACGTTCCCTTCGGCTGATACTGTTACATCTATCAGCCGGATCGATTCCACGAGCGAAATATACGAAATCACGAGGGAAATATTTATCCCTCATTACCATCCATTCTTCGTAACAATCCAACTCGGCCGAGTATCTTACAACCTTAGACCGATATTTATCTTCAATCACCCGGCGAGGAGGATTCCGTTGCCCGTCGTAATCTGCGCAACGTGGAGAAATAAGCGCAACGGCTTCTGGCATGCACGAGCAAATCCGCGAGAGCGATCGTTCCGAAAGCTCTCTCTCTCTCTCCGGTCCGGCGATCTGGTGGCGCGAGATCGTGAGAAGTACTCCAGATCACCGAGCAGGATCTACCAGGGTACACCGCATCGCGAGGCTGTTAGAGTCAGATCGCTAACAAAGTGAGGATCAAATAATAACACGTTAGGATCGCGGGGCCCGAAGATAGATGGCGCACGGTGTGAGTGAATAATTTGATAATGGGAGCGACGCCGCTCTTCCGCCCCCGCGCCGCCACCTCCGTCTAGGAGGATCGGGAAGGGAAGAGGAGCCGGTCGAACAGGGAAGATGATCTCTGATCGTTGCTCGAGATCTAGCACTCGTCCCCCTCCTCCTCCTCCTCCTCCTCCTCCACCGTCTTATTTTCTCCTTCCGTCTCCCTCTCTCTCCGGCCCCATCGTCCACTCGCGCTCCTCTTCTTCGTCCACCACGGCTCTTACTCTCGATCTTGAAAGATCGTGGCGCGAGATCACGGGGCTGTTCGTGATACAGCCGGGCCGCGGACGGGTTATGCACTTGAGCGAGATCACCTCTCCTCTCCTCCCCTCCCCCTCTCCTCGTTCAGTTCCCTCCGTGTAAAGGGATATTCCGGTGTTTTTCGAAATTTTTGCAGACAGGCTTAATGGCGGATGATTGTGTGCCAAAGGTACACCCCAGGTGAAAATGAGCCATCCGAGTCTCGAGAGGCGAGAGAGGCCTGTTGAAGATGCCTCGATCGAGAACGGTGTATAACTGTCGATCGGCCCTTGTTTTCGTCCTCCCTCCCCACCCTTTCCATCTTCTTTCCCCTTTCTTTCGAACATCGGGATCTCGCGCGCGCGTGTGTGGATCACGACGCGCGTGCAATTTCGTAGCACTTTAGCGAGCAATAACCGTTTCTAAGGTGGTTCCGAGCGTGGTCGAGATACGCCTCGTAATCACGAAATCGAATTTCGAGGGCTTCCCCCATTCGTAGGAAGCCCTTCCCGCGTTCCCACGCCGAGGTAACGCGAAAATAACCGACCAAATGGTGTGTAATTGATAAGCGAAATTATTCGTTCCTTTCTAGCCGGGTATGATTTGGAAATGGTACACGATCGTTCGTTTCAGCCTCCGATATGGTTTCCAACCATAAATCAAATTCGATCAAAACTCATCGGAACGAAGAAAGAAGTCGTCTCTCTCTCTCCACGGTGTTTGCTTTATTTAAAGCAGTTTAACGCGATCATTCGAGACACGATCCACCCTGTATAATTTCCTCGTTCGTTCCTCGTTTAAAAACATCGAGAGCGACTCGCGTGTCGCAATTATGCGAGAAATCGTAACGTGCCGCTGCTCGAAAATCGTTCGATTTTCCACGCGCGTAGTGTTTAAACTGTTACAGACCACGATTATACTCCGTATTTATACTCTAATTGCCTTGTGTAATTCTCGTAAATATCGTAAATACACGCGTGAAAACGTGTTGAAATCGCAACGGGGATAACACGGGTCACGATAAATAAATACTCGAGGGGGGAGGGAGAGATACGTAATCTAATTTCGCGATACGGGAAAGAGAAACAACTTCTACCGATGGAGACAAATTAGGTTTTACGCGGAGAGGAAACGTTTCGATCTAACATTTCAGGGATCAAGGTGATCCCTCTACCTCCTCGAAGGAGGAGGTTTTGCATCGAAATGGCACGGTATCGCGACGTGTTGGCCGCCTCTGTTTCGCTCGTCTCACGATCTGAACGCCTGATTTCGCGTTAACGCGCTCTAGGCCGAGATTATTTCGCGAAGTCACGTTAACTCTCGATGCTCGTTCCACGATAATGAGCCTCTCTCCGTCCCGTTTCCTCTCTCGTTTCGCGAATCGTTTGGTGAATCATAGATGGTGCGCGGTGGAGAACGCGTGGACGTTCGATCTCCGTCGTTCGACGAAGGATTTTTCACCGGCTCCCTGTGGGAAACTATTCAAAATAGCCGGCACCTCGGCTGCTCGATCGAGAGCACCTCGCCGCTGTCTGATCATTGTTGTGTCAAGGGTGAGGGGGGACGGTGATTTTGTAACAGCATACACCTCCGTAAATTCTCGAAAGATGACTTTCGTGCGGCAAGACGAGGGGGGGAAGACGAGTGGAGACCGAATGAATGGGGATTTATCAATGTATCCGTGCATTGTGAGGCGAGAGGCGTTGGAGGAATCGAGGAAAAGGATCTCGACACGACTGTTCGTGATTGTCGCTAATAAGTCGCGACTGTTTCGGATGAGAATAAGGGATCGATTCGATTATTATCGGTGATTAAATCTGGGACGAATTGAATCGAAAATTTCTATTATTAGCAACATCACACTGGTTGTTTCTTAAAGAAAGGAATATTTTTAATCAATTTCCTCACAGTATCTTTTTGAAAATTGTTCTCTTTTTTTTTTTTTTGTTACATTTCTTAGACTTTTGAAGTAAATAGGTTTTTTTCTTTGGATATTAATTGGATAAAATAAAAAAATAAAGAAAAATGGATTTGCTTGTAGTTGTATAATTATTTCACGAAAGATAGCAAGCGATTTACTCGAAAACTACATCCGCGTTAAATCCTTTTCTCTTTATTTTTCATTATAATTACATTGTATTAAAATTTCATTCTCAGCTTTCATCTCATTTACATTTACCAAAGAATTTACTTACATCTTATACAGCAACAACAAATTTAATATTTCTCTTACCAAGCAGAAGGTTAATAAATCATTGTCAAATTTTCATCGTGGCAATTGGGGATCGCGATCAAAAAGGACTCGTCGCCATCGTTCCTAGCTAATTTCCATCCAACCAACCAAGTTTCACCGAGCGGGTAATCGCGTCCCATTCTAATCGACACAGTTGAGGGGCAAAAGGCGCGCTTAATTCTAAAACGTTTCTAACGATCTCTCTGCTTGACATTCAACCGGCATCCGCGAAATGGTGGCTCGGAGTGGCGAGTGTCCGGTCGCTTGTCCAATTCGATCACGTAGCGTTTTAACGCTTTACATTGAACGCAGCGCGTGCTCTGTGTAGAACGTAGACGCGGTTACGAGCCGATACCGTGTGTGCGACGAGCTAGCTAGCTAGCTAGCGCGCGCGCGCGTGCGTACGCATAGAGACGAGACGTGGGTGTCGAGTTGTAAAACAAAGTAGTTTTCGAAGGGGACGTTCCAATCACCGCTGGTTGGAATTTATAGAAGACACACGTCGAGGACGGGTATATGATCGAGCGCGGCCAACCTTTCGGCGCTGACTCGCCTCGGGCAATCGTTTATCGACGCGTTTGATAGTCAGGTGAATCATACATGATCGAGTTTGGCCCCACGTTGGAATATCGTATTCCGTGGCGCG